AAAAAAAAAAAGGCAATGATACCAAGCATTCCCATAATGACTGTGGCGTGCCCCATAACCAAATGATGTATATTCTACACTACAATACCCTCTTAAAGATGTCTCATGGCCTATTTACTTTTCATTAATTCATGTTTTACAAAATATAATTTCATGTTTCACAAGATGTACCTTAAGACCAACAAGATTAAAGATGCATGTCAGCTATGATATATCATTTTATACCTGTTCACATCTATTGTTGCACAATGAAGTTGCTGCATCATAGATTTTGCCTCCATTAGAACATGGGCATGACAATTGAAACTAGAAAAAAAAAAAAACGGTTCAAACGATGTCATGAATTTATTTCCATTAGAACCTGTCCTTTCATTGGAGTCTAACCGTATTAAGGGAGCCACGGGAGATGTGCACTCTTTTAAGGATTGTGACTTGGGATACATCCATCAATATTAATATTTTTGTTTAAAACTCTAACATCTATTTCTTGGTTGAATATCAAGTTATCTACTGGCCCAAGAGCCAAAATATGCAGCCCAAGTATAGCCCTTCTTATATTTTTGGTAAGGCCCCAGCTCTAGAGTTTGGACTTGTATTAACACCTTAGGCTGCGTTTGGAAATAATGTAAATGGAGTGTAAATCTTGGTTCTGGGTAAATTTGTACTTTTGCTTGTATTTGACAACATTACATTTATGTATTGATAAATGATAGAAAATATATTTTTCAATGCATATTTATATTGATAATAAGATATAAAAGTACATCAATAAAAAAGAAGTAAATTTGCATTTAAGTGGGTTTTTGGTAAAAAAAAGACATGCTTTATTGGAATTCGTGTTTGCATCCATTACAGTTAAAAGTCTATTTGACCAAACATTACAATTTATATGGACCGTTTTACACTCTACATATTTGCATTCACACTTATTTGGAAATAATGCAAATGGAGTGTAAATCCCGGTTCAGTGTAAATTTGCACTCTAGTTCACTTTTGCCTGTATTTGGCAACATTACATTTTTGCATTGACAAATGACATAAAACACATTTTTCAATGCATATTTACATTGATAATAAGATGTAAAAGTACATCAATAAAAAAGAAGTAAATTTGCATTCAAGTGGTCTTTTGATAAAAAAAAAAGATATGCTTTATTGGAATTAGTGTTTGCATCCATTACAGCTAAAAGTCTATTTGGTAAGAAGGTAAATTTGTCAATGCAAAACTAACCCAATTTTACAATTCATATGGCCATTTTTACGCTACATATATATTTACATTCACACTTATTTGCATCATTTCCAAACGCAGCCTTAATGATCAAGATCACATCTCCCCAAACACCTAAACAAGAGACATGCCCTGAATGGAAGTAGAGGGCATTGGAGTCCATGATGTTGTTTAGTAAGTCATCCAGTGCAGGTGTCTCTATGTGTTATTGTAAGGGCTAAACTCCACAGGCATGTAAGACTGGCATTCTAATAACAATGAAAAGCAAGCAAAAAAATTAGTGAAAGGCGTTTCAAGAACAAGTCACCGATGAACTAAATTTATAACATGATCTTAACTACTTTGAGAGGGGTCCATAAAGCAAAAATCGTGCAAATATAGAGAGGATGGCATCCAATCGTACATCTAGAACATCTCCCATAAATTTAATACAAAAGTGTGGAAGGTATTCCTAATATGCAGTTGAAGGCCATGCTCTCAAGGTGTTAATACCATTTTTACATCAAGGAAATCTGGGCTCAATTGTTTTATGACAGACTTGGGTGGTAGTCTTTCAATTCACCCTTCAGGTTATTGTCTTACCAACAAAGCTAGGAGCCATTTGGGAGGACCTATTACAATCATAACTCGCAGCATTTATGTGCCATAAATTATCTTCTTCCTGTCTTTTTTTTTTTTCTTTATGAGTTGAACTGATCCGAGGACCTGTGAGGTTTATCAATCATGGAGGTCATTAGAGATGATGCCCTCTCTTCCCCTCACTTGCAATTGGGAGCTTGCCTCTAATTGCTAAAGAATAAGAGCGGTGTTTCACTTGGGTTTTCTATTAAACAATTAACATAAAAGCTCTGCTTTGCTTTATAATCTTTCTCCGGTGATAGATTTTCAGGCAATACGGAGAATCTTAACCGGGTCAAGTAGGCAGCTTTCCATAGAAGCTATTGAAAGAGGCTGGCACTGAGAGCCACGTATATTATTGTAAAATAAGGGTTCCGTTAGATAACTTACAATCAATTAAAATTAGGTGGGTTTTCACCAAAATTCATGGGATTGTGATTGGTCAAAACTTGTTCATATCATGTTTTCCCTGGCACCATACATTTTCCCGTAACTTAATTAAATTGGTCTTCCCCAGATTTTTTTTTTTCTTTACCAAACATTGCTTATAGGCTTTCTGTCAGGCCTATCTCTCAAAGGCAAAAGCCACAGCGGCAAAGCCTTCTCGAACAGGCATTTAATATTCTAATTGAGAGAAATCTTTTGATGGAAACATTGGAAACTTGCCAAGTTCACATAGAATTTGCTATCAGTATCTTCATCCAACTCATTGAAATTAAGTTATCAAAAACTCATTGAAATTAAACTAGGACATGCATATTCATAATTTTGGCGTAGGCCCTTCGAATGTCATTATGATTAAGCCTTTAAAATTATACAGATAACTGGACCAAACATAGAACCACAAAGGGAAGAGGTTTACGAGTTAGAGCCTTAGAGGTTCAACCATGTCAAACAAGACACATAAATACTATAAATAATATATTACACAAATAATGCCATGCTATGTGGTGGATAGATGGCTGGCTTTTTAATTTTTAAATTAATTAAGCATAATTCAAACCTCCCAACTCGCATTTTCTTGTTGATTTGTTTCTACGCCAAATATATATTCATTAATGTAAAATGTACATTAAAGATTCACAAATAAATACAAATAATAAAGTGGATTAAAAGTAACAAGACAAGACGCATGAGAAAAAGGTCATGGGTTCAAAGCATTTTGAAACTCGGGCGATTTTAAGAAACAGGGACCAGTCCACCAATTTTCTGGTTAAACTGGTCGATCAGCCGATTTTGAGCATTTTTCTACCTATTCTAATTTCTAGGGTATGGTCAAACCAGATATAAGGCCGGGTCATGATCAACCGGTTCAATCCGGTTTCCGAAACAATAGAATTACAAGCTCTCCACTTGAATGCAGGGTATTTCTTTCTTTCAAGGTTCAAAATATTCAAAGCATGCATCATGTTGATAGGCTTGAAAATGGATGCATAAACTTTAAGCACACATGGATTGCGTGAAAACTCCCACAAATCTCACGAATGCATTAATGATATTAAAAAATCAGAGCCTCAGAGGTTGAGGTAACCATGTATAAGAGTATAAGTCATAAAAACGTAAGAAATACGTATTTTAAAAGTTTATATGAAAAATACTGGGAGTTTAGGCCATTTTAGACATCATATAATAACTTTACTAATAAAACATCAACCAATGAATGTATCATAGACATATTATATCCAAGAAAATGTATAGGATCCATAAATCAAGTAGTCCAAGATAAAATCAAAAACAACTATTATATTTTAATCATTTAACCATTCTATATTTTCTTCTTTTAATTTTGTGAACTTCTGAAATTATTAACCCAATGAGTTTAACTTCTTAAAAATTACTAATGTAAATTAATTTAATTTTGTAAATAATATTTTTATTTCTGTAGATAATCAATATGTTCTTATTTACTTATTTATTGCAAATTAAATTATTTATTAATCGTTTACAGAAATAAATTACCCTAGCTTAAAAAATATATTAGGTCCATTAGATTTCCAAGATATTTATAATATACAATTCAAAATTTTAATTAGTTGCCACTAAATACTAATATAATTATTTTATTTTATACTTTTTTCTATAAGTTACAAAAAAATTAAGAGAAAACTTATACTTATTTTTCTACCATAAAAAATCATTTAGAACTTATTATAATATGTTTTTTGGATTTTCCTAGTTTCTTCGGGGAAAATCCATAGATATAATACAAGCCTAAAACAGCATAGATATAACAATAAAATCAACACATGCATTTCAAACACCAAAACGTGTAGATCTACTAAACATTGAAGGATTCAACGAAAGAGAGACAAATGTTTAACTCTCCTCCTTGTTCTCCTATCTCGATACAAATCTTCAAATTGCCTTTTTAATACTCCTTTCATTTCTGATATTTACTTTGTGTGGATGTGTATTAAATTCTAATACCCCACATAAATAATATATATATATATATAAATTTTTTCTTATGCACTATTTCTAGGTACTAAAGAAAACTTTTTTTTATTTACTTCAAATAATATAATAATACGATAGAATTCACAAAATACAAACACCTTTTATTAGTAGTAATTTACTCATTTTGAAAATGCAAGTTTTCATTAGGGGTGCAAATAGATCAGATCATGATTATTAGTAGTAATCATGATTCGGATCTTCGGATCGGATTTGGATCGCCCCTATCCGATCCGATATATGTTATATATTTATTTATATAAATATATGCATAATACATATGTACATGTGTTATTTAGTTATAAATATATAATTTATATTGTGTTTTTGTAAATTTATTATATTATTTATTTGTTTATAAAAAACATGTATACATAAGATGAAAATAATAAAAAAAATACTTGTATTTTTTACTTTTCTTTATTTAAATTCATATATTTTATTTTTCTTTTAATAATTTATTAATTTTTAAAGAAAATAAATCAAATCGGATCATGTCTGAATATCCGACTTTCCAATCGGATTCCAATTCAGATCCTTGCCTATCAGATCCAATCGAATCTTCGGATCAGATTGAATCCACCATGAATGTGGCCAAATTGGATTCAGATATACCGATTCAAATCCGATCTAATCCGTTTGCATCCGTACTTTCATCCTGCAGAGATAGACTCCAGACACGCGTCTGATCCCAATTCCTTTGTCCATGTCAATGCGACAATGCACTGAAGACTAATGCATTCACAAGGTCCAATCAAGCAAAATCTTGGAACCTTGCGTTTCAAGTCCAGGGAAATCACTGCTGGAGAGTGGAGCCTCTTAAGCTCTCCCCGGAGTCAAATGTCTCTACCTCTTCATTCGACTGAAGTAAATTCTAGGACGTACTGGTTTAAATTTTCAACTTGGATTCTCTCATTCAAATAGTTGGGACAACTTGGCTTGGATGATAATGATGATTCTCATTCAAATCCAGGTTGAACTCATGTACTATACCACACAAGAACAATAGAAGAGATAATACACTCCATTCTGCAATAAAAGCAAAAAAGAAAATAAAATAAAAACTGTTCTTTTACTTCATAGGGAATTCTCAAAGGGCAACAAGCATTCTGGATTAAAACCATTCCTGGAGTAGAACTACATGAGCACTCTTGACTACAACACGTATATCACCAAGCCTGTAGAGAAGACAGATGCGAAGGAAAGCGCTATACAGACTTCATAAAATGTTATTGCAATTATGGGAGGAAGATATGTCCCCTCACTAGGCTTGTTAGAAAAGGCAATGAGAAGGGTTCAAATTGTTTCATACATGAGCTTGCACCATTTAAGGAGATGGAGTTGCTGTTACCGGAGGAAGATGAATCCCAGGTCTTGATACCCATCCTTTGCGATTCCTGTAGGCCTCAACAGCCTGCAAACGAAGTCTCTCATGCGAAGCACTTTGGAAAGTCTTCAATGCCTTCAAAAGCCACAAAGAATATTTAAAAAAAGGAAAAAAAGAACACTTCACAATCACATCATTACACTACAGAATATATAACAAAAAAAAGTTTAACATATGTTTTGTGTTTCCTGTGTTAAACGGTCATCTCATTAGCACAATTTTTTTTCTTGAAAACATCATTAGTAATTCTCAGTTTTTTATGTACATCAAAACGTTCAGTAGCATGGAGATGATACCTTGGGAAATGCTACCAACTTTGGTGGAGCTTCAACTATTTCTCCAAACTTGATCTCCTCACGCCCAGGGAAGTCTAGCTTTTCCTCTGTCTTGGCTTTCTTGTGCTTCATTTTTCTTGCTTCCAGGTACCTATATGAACATAACCTCTAATAATCTAACGTTTAAGATGATAAACAACATTGAGTTGACACTAAGAAAAAAAAAAATAACGGGAACAGATAAACTTCTCTCACTTTCCCATCATCTATCAAAAGATATCAAGAAGGCAGAAAAATTCAGAGCTTATTATTACTTAATCCTTAAATTAGTGTGGCTACACCTATTGGTAAAAAATACTCTTAAAATGCTTACCTTTTCTTGCGATCCCATTTCTTTGAGCCAACTATACCAAGATCTTGCATCGATACATCAAATCGGTGGTCTTGAACCTGCTTCCTCTTTCTCTTTCTTTTTCTTTTATCATGGTCATCCTTATGTGAAACTTTCTCATCATCATCATTGGATTTGAGAACTGTCACATTTTCATCATCACCATCCACTTCGAAATCACTGGTATTACAGCCAGATTTATCCTTTCGATTCAGTTTCTGCAAATGAATCAGATTTGAGTAAAATTTGTCAACAAAAAGATATACTTTTATGTTAGAGGAGTTTGGACAATTGAATTTCAATAAATTATGTAATTATTGGAACAACATCTTTGTGCCCCTAAATTGTGGTAGTTGTACATGATGCATATTTGGAAAAGTCAGGTCATACACTTTTTCTATACGAGGAGGATTAGCCCCTCCAATACCTTTTACATTAATGCAAATATTACATACAAAGAGATAAAAGAAAAGCCCCTAACGAATATTTATTTTCTCTAATTCCCCGTGACTATGATAACCCATAGTGCAGTAATTCATCAGCACACTGCCTAGACTCCCTTATTGTTAGTGTAAAACATTTAAGAAATGATCTCCACATTCTTAATTTTCTGAATAATAATGATAATTGATTTTTATCAGCAAAAATTATAATTGATTTGGACAATGCTCGGGACTCAGTTGTAAGGCTAAAGAACTGGTCATGAAAAGGCAAGCTCTTCCATCCTATAACTTTATTTATTTGAAAAAAGAATAGGATATATTTACAAGAATGATAAGTGCCAAGCGCTTCAATCACCCCAAAGCAGTGGAATCATGTAGTGTTAAAATTAAGATCAATCATAGAAAATCAACATATTAATGAGAAGAAAAGGCAAAAAAGTAAAGAAAAGGAAATTCAGAAAATATAGGGGGAGCCCCTTTTTTGTCCCAGCCTCCCAGGAAAAGAAAAAGGAAAGGAATGAAGAAAAAGAAGAATGTGTTGATTGGACAATTTTAAGTTCTTCCTTGCTTATCAGTTCGGGTTTTGAAGCCTTCAAGGGTTCAATACAGCATACACCAACACCTATTGTCTGAAGGTGTCTCCATGATACATTTGCAGCTTGTACTCTTTTTCCTTTTTTAATGAAATCTTTCCTTTTACTATCAAAAAAATACAGCATACACCAACATGTGTGTTGATTTAACCCTAACGTATAAGAAAATAATAAAAAGAAACTACTAATATAAACCCATAAAATGATTAATTTAGTGTAATAATGCCTATTTCATTATTACAATCTCAAAAATTAAAAATATAAAAATATTTTAGAGTGCCATGTAGAAGGTAGTTAAGTGAGTAAGTGAGGTGACCCTCCACCGATGCCATGTCACCTAGTGTTGCCTTGACAACTATGATATCAGCAAAGACTATTCATGCAAGACTTCACAAATTCCAACTTAACAGTTTTTCTGTTCAAGGAGCAGCATATGTTTGCTTCTTTGTTTGCTCTATCTTCCCTCAAAGAAAAACCAATCTGACTTTTTATTCCCTTCTCCACTCTTTCTACGTTTGGATGGAATTTGGGATTTTGTAGAAATTTGAGGGATTCAGAACTGGGCCTTGTTTCAAACCTTTTACAAGTTCTTGATGAGGTTTTCCCTGCCACTTTGCCTTGTTGTATTTGGGATTGGTTTTTTGGGTAAAATACAAAAACCTCCCTTGAAGTTTCTGACAATCATAAAAACATCCCCTATAGTTTCATTTTAAGAAATACCTCCCCTAAACTTTTGAGAAACTCAACAAAAACCTCTCGTCCCTTACCTTCCCAGACAGAAAATGTTAGACTGATGCACCAGTTTTTTTTTCAAATACCCATTCTACCCTTTTATAAATTATTTCACATGCAAAATTACTGAGATAACCCTGTTTTAACTTGACAACAACCTCCTTTAACGGTCATCTTATAATGTTTTTATCGAGTTAAAACAGGGTTATTTCAGTAATTTTGTATGTAAAATATATACTATATATAAAAGTGTGAATGCAATGTGAAACTTTTTTTGGACTAAAATTATCCCTCTACTTCTTTGTTGAAAAAGGGTATAAAAGCCATTTTATTATAACTTTAATGCCAGCTTTATTAATAGCTAGTAAAATGCCCATAATTGTGAATTTAATCCATCTCTAATGGTAAGGTCGAAAATGTAACTTCAATTATTACTTCCCAACCTCATTTAATCCCCTCTCGTTAAGTCTTATACTTAAATTATTCACTCCCATTTTATCTTATTAAATTAGATCTGTGTCAATATTTTTAACAATATAAATCTATATATTTTAAAACTGAGTCAAAAACAAAACCACTTTTACTTCTAAGTGGTGGCTAAGCAATTCAACCATCCAAATCAAATTGATCAACCTATGAAGTCATAGTTAGGTAATAAATTTTTTTAAATAAAAATAAATATAGAAATTACAAAAAAATGTAAAAAAAAATTAGACACGTTTATAATATTTTTATTAATCAAATAAAAAAAGTGTAATAAACAATAATTATTTTTATTGGTAATGAAAATGGAATACATAATTTAGAACTGACCAAAAATGAAATTATTTTACTGTTTGGCAAAGATCAATAGTTCAAATTTTGGGCCAAACATGTTAACCTTTAATGTCAAATAAATAATAAAAGTTAAAAAATATAAAAATACAAAAAAGAAAAAAAAAACATAAATTTTGCAAAAAAAAAATTAGGCACATTTATAATGATATATATTTATCATATTAAACAAAAAGTAAGTGTGACATATTAGAATTATTTTTACACGCAAAAATACAAAAACAATTATAGAAAAATTGAACAAATCGATAATTCTATATTTACACTACTATTAAAAATATGAATAAGATTGTTGTTAACCTTTAATGTCATAAATAAATAATAAAAGTTAAAAATATAAAAATACAAAAAAGAAAAAAAAAGCATAAATTTTGCAAAAAAAAAAAAATAGGCACATTTATAATGATATATATTTATCATATTAAACAAAAAGTAAGTGTGACATATTAGAATTATTTTTACACGCAAAAATACAAAAAAAAATTATAGAAAAAATTGAACAAATCGATAATTCTATATTTACACTACTATTAAAAATATGAATAAGATTGTGCAACTTTCTTTTAACCAAAATACTCATTTTTTTTAATTTAGTCTCTATTTAATTATGAGGTTTAAATTGTAAATTGAACTACTACTTTTCACCCCATTCAATTCACTCTATTTAAATCTTACATTTTTTTGATAAATGAACAAAAAAATATACACCAAAAAGATTAAATATTACTTTCCACCTCATTTAATCTACTCTAATTAAGTCTTATACATAAGGTATCAAATCCAATTTTCTCTTATTAAATCCTATATTTTTGAGTTATTTTTCACTAATAAATGCTACTAATTAGATCTATGTCAATATTTTTAACAATACAAATCCATATATTTTAAAATTGACTCAAAAACAAAACAATTTTTTATCCAAGTGGTGGTTAAGCAATTCGACCATCTAAATCAAATTGATCAATCTACGAAGTCATAGTTAGGTAATAATATTTTTAAAATAGAAATATAGAAAATTACAAAAAATGTAGAAAAATTAGGCACATTTATGTAATCAAATTAAAAAATAAGTATAATAAACAACAATTATTTTTACACTACTATTAAAAATATGAATAAGATTGTAGAATTTTCTTTTGACTAAAATACTCATTTTTGAATTTAGTCCCTATTTAATTGTGAGGTTTAAATTGTAAATTGAACTACTATGTTTTTTTCTTTTTTTGATGAATGATAACAAAAGAAATTTAGTTGGTTGACAAGGAATATGTTAGTGGTCACTGTACAGTGGGTGGTGAGATCAGCAAATACTTTGTCAGATGTGTTAGCCAAGCAAGGGGTAAATAGGGAAGAATTGTTTTGGGCTCAGTTGTGATTCTTGCTTTTCTTTCCTAGTTTACTTGTAAGATTCAAGGAGGGGCTGCAGCTCGCGCCTCTCCCTGGGATGTTGTATGAACTCACTCTAAATCTGCTTCTGAATTAATAAATTGAACTACTATGTTTCACCACATTCAATTCAATCTATTTAAGTCTTACATTTTTTTATAAATGAACAAAAAAATGATACAACAAGAAAATAAAACATTACAAAATGAAGAATCTAGCCAAGCAGTAGGGGTGCAAATGGATCGGATCATGATCCAATCCGATCCTTTTTGTCGAATTCAGATCACTCCCTATCCGATATGATATAACACACACATATGTTATTTATTTATTTATAAATATATTATATATTGCATTTTTTGTAAATTTGTTATATTATTTATTTTTTATAAAAAATGTATATATGATGAAAATAGTTGAAAAGATACTTGTATTTTTTGTTTTTTCTTTATTTAAATTGTTATATTTTAATTTTCTTTTAATATTTTATGATTTTTTAAATTAATTTGGAATGGCTTATATCCAAATATCTAGCTTGCTTCCTCATCGGATTCTCATTAAAATCCATGTTTATGAGATGTGATCAGATCTGTTGTTAATAGTATTGGATCATATTTGGATATACCTTGATTCGAATCCGATCCAATCCGTTTGCATCCCTACCAAGCAGGTAGGCTTGTCAATGATATCTGAAACATCACAACCCAATCCAATTATCACGTATTTGGATGAGGTATTATTTATGTAATCAGATTTGGATTTTGCAATCTACACCCAATTAATAATAATAAATATAAAATATAAAAACAAAAAATACACAAAAGTTCATAGAAAATTTTGGATATATTATTACTATCATTATCATCATCTAGAATCGTCACATGCAAAGCATGTGCATGCTTACTAGTAATTTATAAAAGGGTAGAATGGGTATTTGGAAAAAACAAGTGCATCAGTCTAACATTTTCCGCCTAGGAAGGTGATGGAAGGGAGGTTTTTGTCGAGTTTCTCAAATGTTCAGGTGAGGTATTTGTTAAAATGAAATTATAGGGGAGGTTTTTATGATTGTCAAAAACTTCAGGGAAGGTTTTTGTATTTTACCCTTTTTTTAATCAGCAAAATGAGAATTCCATTCACTTAATAGGATTGAAACAGAATTACAGCAGAAAGAAACAATGCATCAGAAAAAGTTACAATAAAGCCCAAAAAAGTTGTTGCCTTTGAACTCCC